ATGCTGAAATCAGCCCGGTACTGAGCAAAGGGTTTAGGGCTTCCTGCAATCTCATGTGTGCTCCTGGCAAGGAGCTGGGACTATCTGGAGAGCTCAGGAGAGGTTTCCATCACCTCTTGGCATGGGATGGAGGAGGGCTGGGGGGATCTCCATCCCTGCAGCAGGATCCCGACAAACACGAGCAATAAAGCAGCATTTTTGTACTTCCCTGTCAAGCCTAAATCCCCCAGAGGAGGGGATCCCTCTGCTGAGCTTTGAGTTCACAGGGACATCAGAGAAGCAAGGAGTTTGCTTGCAAAAGAACAGAGCTCCCCTGGCAAGAGCTGCCATGTGAATTTTGGAAAACAGATCTTCTAGTCCAGAAATCTTGCCCATATGATGCTTTTTTGCATTTAAACCATGAATAATGTGGATTTCCCCCTGTGTCCAGCACACAGCTTCCTCGGTCCCCAGACATACTTTTGCTCAAAGAGTCTATTACCTATTTTTATCGAAGAAGAGCCTGTTTCTCATACGGGAATGCAAGAAAAAAGGGAACAAGGATGGCAAGTCCCTCGTCTGGTTCCACTTCATCCTTTGCAGTACCACTGCGCTCAAAGAAAATTGGATGGAGGTGAGGGACTCAGAAATGAAACGGGTTCCTTGTGACTCTGCAATCACAGGCATCGTGCTTACAACTCCCAAACAGACCCGTCTCCCTTCAGAAATGTTTTGGGGAGGGTCTGTAAACTTGCTCTAGTTTTTTCTTTCCAGCCTGAATTTTTAAGCAGTTTGTCCCACTTGTTCTCCTGCCAAAGCGATCCATTAACCTAAACACCACTCAAGCCTTGCCTGGTTTTAATTTTGCTTTGTTTCTTCCTGAGAGCATCAGGTGCCACCGATTTTGTTAAGAACTCACCCCTTTTTGGCTAAACCAGCCCCGAGCATTGGATTTGCAGCAGAAGTTCACCGAAAGCCAGGCCAGAGCAGCTGCTGACATTCCTAAAAAGCCAAGTTCTTCCTTTCAAATCAGTTTATTCCAGCTTCTTATAGATTAGCCGGTGCTGATAAACTTGGCATTACGAACCACTCGCAGGTATTATCCCTTCCCCTGTCAGTCCTGGCCAAATCACAAGAGATCTGCAAAGATTTACAGAAATCTGTTTGGTTGGGATTTTTTCCCTGCCTCCTGCCAGCTTTTCTTGCCAGTTTGACCACTTGCCCGGTCATCCTCCAAGAAGAGTGAGTCAGCTGGGCAAAAAAAATTAATAAATAAAATATCCCAAGCCAATCCCAGTGTGAACTCCCTGCCCCAACCCAAACTGGACCCTCGGGCCTCAAGAACTATAAACCACCCCCGCCATCACCCCTCTGGCTCTTCCCAGCCCCATCCTTGCCACAACACCCTCCTCCAGTTCAGCTTGGATGGTGAAGTGGATTAAAATGAGATGTAGAGGTTGCAGCCATCCTCAAAAGTCCCTTTACGCTTGTGCGTGCTGATGTTCAGAGAGCTCCAGCCACCTCCATCACCCCGGGATGTGTTGCTCCTTCTCCCCTGCTCATCTATCAATGGCAGAAGAAATCCAGATGGGCACCTTCCAGCTGTTGTGCAACTTCTAATCAGCTCAGACAAGATGAGAGGGGCACCATGCTTTTGCCAACAACAGCTTTTGTCCGGTGGGCTCATTACAGGAGGGAGGACACCACGGGAGGTAATGAAGGAGCGATGCAAGCGGATCCTTTTCATTCCTCCCACACCTGAGCATCCCCATCCTCCTCCTCTGGCTCTGATGAATCCATAGGGAAGGATCCAGCCTTATTTTGACCGTGGTTTCCAGGATGGCATCTCTGTACGGGAAAGATTTATGGCAGCGCTTATGGCAGGAGAAGAAGAGTGATTAGATCGGGCCCCGTCTATGTGTCGGGGGGAGAGACCCGCTTTACAAGGAAATAAACTCAAGCAATTAACCGGGGAATTAAGATTTAGCGCACGCTACGAGCAGCAGGCGTGTATAAAGGAGACAGCTGTTAAATTTAGTATGTGACAAAGTCATGCGAGCACTAACTGGATTACTTGCATTTATTTGGGAATACTTATGTATTTTATTATGCAACGTATAGATCACCATAATTCTGCTTTTCACTCCGACGGCGCCTCTTCTCCGAGCATCTTAGTGAGCATTACAAACAATTAAGCCTGCCTGCGCCTCTGCGCAGCGCTCAGCGTTATATCCGCTTTGTGGGTATTGACTATATTTTAGATCGTATGGCTTAATTGATGTGATTGATTTTTAACTCTTTCTGGGCCAAAGCCCCTTAGTTGCTGCCCTTCCTGGCCTGATTGTGGAGTCCACGGGGATCAACTAGTCCAGAAGTCACTGGAGTGAGTTTTCCAGGGATGGAAATTCATCCAGATCCACAGGGATGGTGATTTTGACTCGATTTGGTGAATAAAAGGGAGGTGATGAATGCTGGAGAGGGGAGCATCGCTCGGGTGGTGGCTCCACTTATGGTCTTCCAGCATAACCTCCTGCTCTGCAGACACTTTCGTGTATCCCCAGGACCTTTGGAAGTGGCACAAGCTGCTTTTCAGTGCTTCCAGCTTCCTTCCCTGGCAAGAAGTGACAAGTAACTGCCTCCAGTTGCATCTCCGGGGAGGAGTTTAGGGAGGCAGCGTGTAATCCTGCCTGCTGAGTTTGGTCCAGACACTATCAGACGTTATTAATCCTTTGTATCAGGCCAATGGGGACCAGCAGCCTGCTCTGTAAATGTGCTGCAGTACGGGAGGGACAGTCCCTTCCCTGAACAGTTTCCAGTCCCAGGAGATCGCAGAGGGGTAGATGGATGGCAGGATCTTCGGGAGCCAATACCCAGAGCACTGGGAAGCTGCCGTGGAAGATGCCAGCCGTTCTTGGCACCGGGGTGGTTTGATCGGCGGGTCTGACGCCCCAGCCTTTCCCACCGACCACGTCTGTGCCAAAAACAGGAGCGGTTTGCACCTCCTCACCCAGCAGTTTGCTGCAGCTCCTGCTCGGAGCATCCCTGCTTCTCCTAAAGGAGCTGAACTGGGTTACCTGCCAGGGGATGGCCTCAAAGAGCTGAACTGGGTTACCTGCCAGGGGATGGGGCTCTGAGATAGAATCATAGAATGGTTAGAGTTGGAAGGGACCTTAAAGATCATCAAGTTCCAACCCCCCTGCCCTGGGCAGGGACACCTCCCACTAGGGCAGGTTGCTCAAAGCCCCATCCAGCCTGGCCTTGAACCCCTCCAGGGATGGGGCATCCACAGCTTCTCTGGGCAACCTGTTCCAGTGTCTCACCACCCTCACAGGAAAGAATTTCTTCCTAATATCTAATCTAAATCTCCCCTCTTCCAATTTAAAACCATTACCCCTTGTCCTGTCACTGCACTCCCTGACACAGAGTCCCTCCCCAGCTCTCCTGTAGCTCCCTTCAGATACTGGAAGGCTGCTATGAGGTCTCCCCAGAGCCTTCTCTTCTCCAGGCTGAACAACCCCAGCTCTCTCAGCCTGTCTTCACAGGGGAGGGGCTCCATCCCTCTGATCATCTTCGTGGCCCTCTGCTAGACCCATTCCAACAGGTCCATGTCCTTCCTGTGTTGAGGACTCCAAAGCTGGACACATGCTTGTCTACTCCTCCAACCCTGCACAAGCGTTGAACAGAGTGAGCACTGGACCTAGGATGGGTAAAAAAAAAAACATTTAAAACCAATTTTTGGTGGCATCGGTCATGGAGGACCTTTGGGACCTGCACCAGCATCACTGCAGCCCCTCCAACACCTTCAATAGCTCCTGGAGAACAAGTCATATCCACTCCCCGGGCTACCCCAAAGCAGCCCATTTATCTAAATAAAGCACTTCTTCAAGCAAAGACAACTTGTCAGCACTTGAAAACAAGTGAGAAGCCAGGTCCGGGAGCAGGGACCAGGAGTCTTGGCCGGGCTCAAAGAGGTGACCACGCACAGACACACTCACACCTGGTCTCCTACCCCCGGCTCACGCTGCAATGGTGCGAGGCCAGGCACGTTACTAGCCCTATTTTCCATTTATAGGAGCCTGTCAGAAATGACACTCCTCTCTGAGCAGATGTCGAAAAATTAGAGGGAATTCAGAGAGCGGCAGGAAAAAAAAAAAAATAAAAAAAAAATGATTAAAGGAGATGGAGGGCCTGATTTTGGAGGGAAAAGAAATCAGAGGAGCTATTTATAACGCTGCCTGCACCAGGGTGGGTCGGAAAAGGCTTTTTTTTTTTTTTTTTAAAGAGCCTCGATAGCTCATCTAAGGGGAAGGGGCAAAGCAGCCTCCGAAGGAACGCTGGAGAGGGGCTGTGTGAGAGGGTGTAAATCTGGAGTGGTGGGATGAAACACCATCAAACAGGGGTGTCTGGGGAATCACCAGTAATGGGTGAGTGCAGGGGACAGTCGCCCATCCAGAGTGGAAAAAAAATAAAGAAAGGCCCTGATAAAGATGTGTTAAGGGGTGGTAGAGGCGGTACCGGTGACAAACCGCGCGTGTATTTACATCCAGCATTTTACGCAAAACGTGGTGGCGGGGGTGGAAATCTTCGCTTTTTCATCCAAAAGCAAATGGGTTTGGTTAAAAAAAAAAAAACAACAAACCAACCAACAACCACCAGCTTTAAATTCAGGCCTTCAGCCCCTCGAGGCTCCCGGGGGATGCAGGCAGGGGTTGCTGCAGAAGTCAGCGGGGTGCCTGATGGAGGGGACCAGCCTGCTTCGGGGGGATGCATCCCAGGGGGAAACAAAGCATCCTGCCCCCGTTTCCAAATCGCCTGGGTGATCTGCGGGCTGAGAAGCAGTTCATTAACGTGTTGACAATGCGTTGTCACCCGTTCCCTGAGCCCTGGCTCCCAGTGGTGACTCCGTGGCCAAAGGAGGTTGGGGCGAAGGACTTTCCTGGGGGCAATCTGGGTTTCTCCGTGCCTTGGTCCCCAGAGGGAAGCTGCCTAACGTGGTCCTTGTCTCTCCGGTTGCCTTGCAGGACCTCTCACTCCAGGGCCAAGGCGGAGGCGGCTGTGACGGCGGCGCAGAAGGCTCAGGAGGAAGCGCGGATTGCCAGGATCACTGCCAAAGAGTTTTCGCCTTCCTTCCAGCACAGGGAAAACGGTCAGTGCCTGCTGCCGTGCTGGCCGGCCCCGCGGATGCAGCTTTCACCCCGTGTCATTCTCTGCCCCACTCAGCCCTGCAGAGACCCAAAACCCCCAAAAACGAGCCCTGGGCAGAGGTTTGGTCTGTGCCCACAGCTCCTGGTCCTCACCGGGACCCTTAGGTGGGAAGCTTCCCCGTAACACCAGCTTTTGGGGGTCTTAGCACCAGGCTTTCAAAATTCAGCACTTCCACCCTGTCCAGCCCAGTCGTTACAGGGATCTCCTCTTTTCACACCAAAACACCCTCATTTTTTGAATTTGTGGTTCTCGATGGTTGCACAGAAAAAAATCCAAGAGCTCTGAAAGCAGAATGTAAGCACAGATGATCCCGGCAGCCGTCACTGGTTTTACCCCCATGGCCTTCATGGTTCATGATTTGGGGCAATAGGTATCTAATACCTACTAGAGGGTTAGATACCTATACACATAGGTATCCAATCCTTCACTTAGGGGTGCAAATCAGTCTCGTGCGCCTCCAAAGGTGTTGGGAGAATGCACATTTGAGGTTTGCTTGGTGACTCTTCCTCCCTTCCATCATTGGGGACATTTCTTGCCGCTTTGTCCCAATTTTTGCTCATCGATGAGAGGCTGGGGCTCAGTGAAGGCTCAGGGAAGAGGAAGCCGTGGTTGGGCAGGGGTCTGCAGCCAGCTGGCACACGGGGAGGATTTGCCCCACAAAGGCTGCGCCGAGCCAGGAGCGAGAGAGGCTGCGGCGAGTGGGAGTGGAAAGCTCCAAGTCCCCACAGCAATAATTAACATAGTAATTAATATATGTGAATGGTTTTATTCAAAAGTTTCCCTGCACCGAACCCTCATTAGGAGGCGTCTATCATTATTTTCTCCCCCTTCCAGTTCTCTAACTGAAGATTACTCATTCGGCTTAATTGCTCCAGGGGCTGGTGCCGGTGACTCATGGCGGCGGTGCCGTTCCCCGAGGCCGGGGAAAAGGGATCATTGCATCTTTTGGACCAGCCAGCCCATGCACGAGTCCTCACTTAACCACGGCACGGAGGCTGCGGGGGCGGCCGGGGGCATCCCACGGCTGGGCAGCCATGAGCCAGGCAGAGAGTTTGAGCTCTGGCTCCAGCCCTGAACCTGCCTGAGCCGGGGTGGCGTGTGTCACAAACCCCCACCCGGGACACGGTCACCTACAGATGGGTGTTCTGGTGTCCCCCTCACAGCCAAGACCCCCCTGCAGTGCTTTGATGGCTGGAAGAAGGCACAGCCCTGTTCAACCCCCCCTCGGTGTTTCTCCTCCTGCAGAGGTCCAATTTGTGTATCGGAGATCTGAGCTTTTTCTCAGGGCTGCGCGGTCCCAGGGGCTTCTTCAGCCCTGAGATACTCCTCATCTCCATTTCCTCTTGCCAAGACACTTTGCTGTTTTAAATCACCTCTTGAAAAGATATTTTTAGGTAATACATTTTTTACTAGCTTCTCGACGGGGACACGGTGCTTGACTTGTGTTGGGGCTTGTGTTTCTGGTGCTCACGTCTGGGTGGGTTGTGTGTGAGTGAAGCGGGGAGAGGTGGGGGGGGAGGAATTGGGGGGAGGGAAGGAGTTTCCACTTAGAGCACATTAAAAAACAAACACAGCATCCCAGACGTGTCGGGAAACCTGGGAAACCAAGTCAGGCAGATAATAGCTGTGAGCGGCCGCGTCACCCCACAGACCCCGTAACCCCAGGCTGCAAAGGGCTGGGGGCAGGAGGGGGGCTGGCTGGGGTGAACTGGTGATGCAGGAGTTGTATGTGCCCACCCCCCACCTTCCAGAGCATGGGGGGTGTGGGATGTGCCCCCCTTGCACAGCACTGGGGGTGAAGAATGTGCCCCCCCTCACACAGTGCTGTGGGTGCTACATGTCACCCACCTTTGCAGCATCTCAGGGGGGTTCGTGCCCACCTCAGCCTCATGCCCCCAGCCGTCCTGGTCCAGAGCACCCCGTGGTGCAGCCCCAGTTTGAAGAGACACAGATTCCAGACCAGCAGGCACCGGCTCCGGCTCCAGCAACCCCGCACACGCCACAGCAGTGCCACAAGGCCTTCACCTGGAAAAAAGCAAAAATATTCCTGCTCAGTACCCTGCATCACCCTTTCCCCTTGTGGTTTTGCATCTCTGGTGGCCAGGGGGATCTTCCACATCCCCACTGTGCTCACTGGGGTTGTGCCTCCCCGGTTCCTGGCTCTCCCAGACGCCCCTGGCCATGGCTGCCAGCAGGGTCAGAGGATGGGCTGGATGAAGTGACTCTCCCAAGGTGATGGCAGCGCATCAGTGGCAGAGGCAGGAGCTCGGCACGGCTCCCAAACCCCGTTCGTGGGTCCTCAGGGGCACTGGGGCACCCAGGGGGCACACGCATGGCTTTGAAGACACTGCAGCCGGGCACAGCTCTCTCCATCCTGCTGGAAATCCAGATTTGGTACTCCGCATCCTCCTTCGCGCTCTCACAACTGTTCTTCCAGGAACATCACGTGCTCCGCGACTAATTTTAGCTCAGAATAATTGTTGCACATCCTCGGGTGTGGAAAGCCAGCAAGACGGCACCGTGCATCTGTCGAGTTCCTCTGCAAATGCCTGCATCCGTGTGGGGCACCATGGCTGGAGGGGCAGCCTTGCCCCAGCATCACTGGCCCCTGCTTATCCAGAAGCCGCAGCCAGGGGCTAGGAAACTCAGGGAATTAACCCATGGTGAGGCAGAATTACTCAGCTCACTGCAGGTCCAGGTGGGGAAGATTTAGTACGAGAAGGTGCTTAATAACATGGTCTCTGGTGCAGGGTTCTGGGGTGAGGATGCTGGAGCATCAATGGGCTTTTTTGCCTCCATCGTGGGGCTCAGAGGTCTGGGGAAGATGGGGGTCAGAGCAAAGGTGCAGGAGCAGCGAGTGCAGCAAGGCTGTGGCTGGTTGTGGCCTTGGAGATCGGCTTTGGAGTCACCGGAGCTGATTGGAAGCTTTCAAGTCCCTGCACCTCCAGCCTGAAATGAACAGGGACACCCCAAGTCTTGGGTGAGCCTATTTCAATCTCTGGCTTTACAGCTTTCTCATATGAAGTTGTTTATTCCCTTCCTGCCTCAGTTTCCCATCTGTGATATTGGAGGGCGGCTGGAACAGGAACATCTCAACAACAGCCACAAAACCAGTCTGTATTTTTCCCCAGAGGCAGTTGTTCTGCGTGACAATGGAGGGGGTGAACTCCGCCTTCCCCCTTCACCACAATGTCCCACCAGTACAGGATTTCTCAAGGGCCCCAAATAAATCCCGGGAGGTTCAGTCTCCCACTGACAAAGAGGGACACGGGGGACGAACTAAGACCGAACTCTCTGGGCAAATAACACCAAAAAAATTGGCAGTCATTAGAAGGCCAATTTCCCGTTGAGAAATTGCTTCTGTAGCAAATTTCCAAGCAGCCTTGTTACTATTTACCTCCCCTGCAAGTGCTTCGATGGGGACATCTGTCCCCACGCTCCCGGCATCCCCCGCACGTATCCGGAGCACGGCGGGGTGGGATGCGGGGACGGCTGCGGGCGAAGGCACGTCCCGGCGGCAGCAGCTCCCCAAGAAGATGCCACAGAGAAAATTACTCAGCAGAAGTGGGGAGATTAGAGCAGGAGCTTCAGAGCATTTATTTTTAAACCATGGTAAGAAATTGAGTTCTTTCTTTTTGAGACTCATTTCTTGTCTAGCCATAGCAATTGCAATTAGATGCATTTCAGGGGCATTAGGCAGTTAATATATTTATCAAATTATTCACGTAATTTAGCATGTCTTTAGCTGGGAACAACTATGCCTTGAGAGAGTAGAATGAGAATTAACCACTATTAGCTTGCACCCTCTTGAAATAATTTGGTGTTTCATCCGTGATTAATAAGTTGCAGGTTTTTTTTTCTAATTGTCCGGAGAAGTGACATGTTTCTTGCCAGCTGGCCACCTCCAGCAGAAGACATTCAACTGTGTTTAAGTCTCTGTCCCTGGGGAGACATCGTCTGGGGTGTCCTCTGGGCTCAAAGGGAAGGAAGTGCATTCGGCATGGTAAAGATGAGATGTTCTTATCTTTAAAAATACTGTGTATATTGTACTCACGGAGCCCTGAGCACCCGACCTTGCTCCTGCCTAAACATGTGAGGCACGACTGCCCGTGTGCTCGCCATCACATCCAGCAAGGGGGGCTGAGTGGGGAGACCTCTGCCAGGAGGTCATGGAGACCATGTCCTCCTGGTCTGTGTGGGGCAGGAAAGCTGTTCCATGTAGGGTTTATGTTTTTTTTTTTTCTTAATGAGAGGCTTGCACATCTGCCCAGAGGGGACCATCTCCCTCTGAAGGCTTTGAGATGAGATTCCCCTTCTGAACCCGAAGACGATGTGTTTCCTGCCTGGGGAGGGGTGTGAAGGCTGTCAGCAGTGACCTGGGCACGGGGTGATCCCAGCAGTGCTGGCACATGTGAGCACAGAGCACGGGGTGAGCTGTGGGCTGCCACCAGCTCCATCTCAGGTCTCCCCTCTCGTGCCTGAAAACCGAGTTTGGAGCTGATGGGAAAAGGTGGTGAGATGGATACCCCCCAAAAAAGGTCAATGGGCAGGGAGATAACCCCCTTAGCAGGGTTGGAGTGGCAGGAATGGTGCTGGGGAGCAACGTAGGCTGCTTTCTGGTGGGGCTGCCACCTCCTGCATCCCTGCCACCCCCCCGGGGATTGCGGGGCTGCGGGCAGAGCGCGGGCAGGGTCCGGGCTCCTCTTCTAGCACCAGGCTCCCAGCAGGACCATCCCAAGTGGCTTCCCCACATCTCTGGGTCTTTTTCTCATAATACATACACGCAGTCCCTCCACGCATCTCCCCGAGTGAGCAGGGATCCTGCCGGTGGGTGGGATCCACGGGTGCAAAAGGAGCAGCCACCCCTGAGCCTGTTCGGGTCAGACGGGAGCCACGGTGGTGCCGGGTGGTTTCTAAAAGGGTTGGTAGCCCTTGGGTTTGCAGCAGCAGAGAAACACAACCTCAGCACGGAACGCCTCTGTCTTGACAACACCAGCAGCTGATGCCAGAGCATCTCCCCTGTGGGGCTGCAGCCGCTTCCACCGCGTTGCTTTGTGGATGCTGGGGGCAATGGCAGGTTTGGTGTAAATCCAGTGATGCCTTTCCTCTGAGTCTTGTAACAGAAGCCTTTTATTGTGTGACGCTGCTGCTGTCCCCATCTTGTCCCACGGTTCCCCCGCCGTCCAACGCTCGCAGCCCTATTCTTTGCCATGAAAAGCCTGGTGGGCGCCCACAGAATAGAAATAATCCTGTTGCTTTTCTCTCTCCCTCTCTCTCTCTTTTCTCTTAACGGCTGCACAAAAAAAAAAAAAGGGCTGGAATGCCAGCGACCGAAGCGCCAGAACTCGAGCGATGACATTGAGGTCCTCTCCACCGGGACGCCTCTCCAGCAAGAGAGCCCCGAGCTGTACCGCAAAGGGACCACCCCGTCCGACCTGACGCCCGACGACAGCCCACTGCAGAGCTTCCCTGCCAGTCCCTCCTCCACGCCGCCCCTGGGTCCTTCCTGCAGGAACAAGAGCGCTCACTTCTCCAGGCAGGTCTCGGTGGACGAAGAGCGGGGCGGGGAGATCCAGATGTTGCTGGAGGGACGCGGCGGGGACTACCTGCGCCCCAACAGCTGGAGCGAAGAGAAGGTCGGCGGGACTCGCGGCGTGAGAAGCGGGACGCTGCGCAGCGGTCAGCTGGGGTCGGCCTCCATCCCCGAAGACTACAGAGGTCGGAGCGGAGGACACAAACATTCGGCCTCCAACCACAAGCAAAGAGAGAGGTGGACAGATTCCCCAGCCACGGTTTCATGGACTTCCCACCACAGGTCCCACAACCACAGCTCAGGGAGCTCCAAACTGCTTGAGCTCGACGAGGAGAAGATGAGCAATTACGAGATGGAGATGAAGCCCCTCATGAGGATGGATTCTTATATGCAAGAGATTCACACCCAAAAAAGACACTATAGCAAAGGAGGACCCTGCAGGAGCATGGCTGACGACCACCGCGGGGAAGACCGGGGCTTCGGGGTTCAGAGACTGCGGTCTAAGTCCCAGAACAAAGAGAATTTCAGGCCATCTTCCTCTGCCGAGCCCACCGTGCAGAAACTGGAAAACCTGAGATTTGGGGACAAAGCAGAACCTCGGCTACTAAGGTGGGACTTAACCTTCTCCCCGCCACAGAAATCTTTACCTGTTGCACTAGAATCTGAAGAGGACAATGGGGATGCGCTCAAATCAAGTACGGTAAGTAGGCAACGTTGTGTGTTGAGATCCAGCCTGTGCTGGAAGTTGGTGTGGGGTTTTCTCTGCAGACTCGTGGTGGGAGCAGCAGGTTTTTCACTGGAGGGCGTGAGCAGCAAGTCTGAGTTGGTTTTGCAACCCAGTCCCGGGTCCAGCAATAAAAACACTGGGATTTTGAGCACTCACCTGGTGGAAAAGCTGCAGGAGTAGGCAAGGGGTTGGTGATGCTTCCTTGTGGTGAGATGATGGCAGCAGAACTTCACGCTGGCCTAAGAGTGTGGTGGGACCCTGTTGCAACACCAGGTCTTAAATGCTGGTAGCTGGGTATTGTGTCAACCTGTAGCAGCTCTCCATCACTCTGCCACTGTGTGATGGCACTGCCGGTGGAAGCAGTGGCCTTGTCACCACTGGAGACCTGACCTGGGTGGAGGAGGGAACTATGGTCATGGAGCAGGGCATGTTGCAAAGGGGTTGTGTTCCTGAGCTGACCACTGCTCAGGCTGTGCTGTACTGATCTGCACGACGCGACACAGCTCAGGTTTTTTGGTGTGTGGATGCTGCTGAGCCAGGAGGGGGTGTGAGCCCGTCGGGGGGGATGCAATATGAAAGGGTCTCGGCAAACTACAGACAAGAAGGTGCAATTCAGGCAGGGCACCAAGGCAGGGAAAGCAATGGGCAAGTACAGCAAGGGCAGTGGATTATTTGAGCTCTGCAGGTCAGGGTGATACAGCCAAACGTCACCCCGTACCACCACTCTACTGTGAAGAACACAGGTATGCTTTCTAAGCTGGAGCACAGCCTGTGGGACCTGGAGGATAACCCCTTGGGAGACATCCAGTCCTGGGCCCCTCATTTTGGGAGAGACAAGAACACGTTGGGCTTTGACAGCTGGCTCTGGGAAGAGCTGGAGGTGTTCAGGCCAGAGAAGAGGAAACGGAGCGATCTTCAGACACATAAAACAGCTACTGCGTAGTGGAAGGGAATAATCTGTTCTTGATGAACAGAATTAATGGGCTTAAATTCAAGCTTCAGAGGCAGTGGTGAGCCATCAGCCATTACTAGCGAGTTGAGGGCTGGAATAAATTGCCTGGGTGGCTGGGAGGTGGGCTAAGACCTGCTTGGACATCTGCAACTCAGATATAACTTGGTTGGAGCTGAACCTGCCTTGGGAGAAGGCTGAGCTCTGTGTTTTACTGGTGCTTTCCAAGCCCTGGTTTTTGGTGATTCCTGGACTTACCATTGATAGGAGCTTCCTCCCTTGTTCTCGCTGTTGGCTCGGACTTGCTAGGAGAGGTGATGGGGGTCTGATGGGAGCTGTGGGGAAGCCACCGCCGCTCCAAATTGCCCCTTGTCGAGTCAGGACCAAACACAGGGCAGGGCTGGAGGGGTCCCATGCTGCTGGATGTCCCACAGCCCAGGCCAGACCTACACAGGAGAAAGAGAAAACCTTTAGCAGTCAGGTGTTACAGAAGAAAGGAGCTGAATCTCCCTGTCAGGGTAGGAGACGAGGATGCTTGGTTGGTTGGGAGACTGGGATCGTGAAAATGAAATGACATTTGTCAGTCAGGCCAAAAGTTTGGGCTGGAGGCATCATGGTCTGTAACGTATGATCCCCGTTGCCCTACCTACAGCATCCCTGCTCCTCTGGCAGAGCAAAGGGACCAGCACCCTCAGCCGAGGGATGAGAATAAAGGGGTGGGAGAGAGGAGGGAGCGGTGACATCTGCAGCCCGTGAGCAGCCAGGCTGGAGGAAGGACTAAGCTACAGATCTGCCACGGTTTCCCTGCTGTGGCTGTGGATAAATCACCCCCACACACACACACACACAGCCCCGGTAGCTCTCTGCCTTCCTATTCATCTTGCAAGCTGCAGCGCAGGCTCCAGAGCACCCACACAGCAGTTAAGAAGAGCTGAACGCGGGGTGTGTTTGCTGGTGGACGGCACCGTAGGGGACATCTTGCCAGTCCAGGAGAAAAAAAGAAAAAAAAAGAGCTGCAAGTGATGCCAGCCCCAAGCACACAAGCGGGTGCTGAGGCCAGACCGGGCTGTCCTTACCTGCTAGCATCCCTGCCTCTGAAGCACTAGAGAAATGACAGGCAGCATTCGGAGCCTGACAGGCTTTCAGAGGGGGAAAGGAGTAGCAGTAATTGCACGGACATCAACCCTGTTGAAGTCTGTGGGACTTGCAGGTGGTCCAGCACCTTTGAGAACGCGGCCTCACGCGGCGGGTTAAGGAGCCGGGAGAGATATGAGTCCCAAATGAGGAATGAAACCACGGTTTCTCCTCGCTGAGAGGCAGGCGTTCCTGGGGGAGGTGGCTGGCACAAGCAGCCCTGGTGTCTCTCCCCACCCAGCCCAAATCAGAGGCGCTGCTGAGGCTCCTCATCACACACCAACCTCTCCAGCCCCGGGAAGGGGAGGGTTAGGCTTGAGCTGCGGCGCCAGAGGTAAATAGCCACTAATGCAACATAACATTACCAGCTATTTCGAGCGAGTCCTGGGCACTAACGAAGGGGCAGAGCCTGCACGGAGAGGCTCAGGGAGAAGCCATTAGGATGCGCATCATACTTTTTAAGTGCTGTAGCTGTGAAGCAGCATGTTCAGTTTTCTCACATTCATAACCGAGGGTGGAACAGATGGCGAAGGTTTGGGAGGAAGCTAATGTAATACAGAGGAAGAGATAATATGTGGATTTAAATAACCTACAATGCCAGCAACAATTTGTTCTAGCAGGAATTGCACTGTGCTAGCAGGGTTTTGTTCCATGGGGCCTGGGGGGGGGGGGCATGGGGCAGGAGCAGGGGAAGGGGGGGGAGGAGAGGGATGGGAGGTGCAGGGATTTGCATTCCAACCTCCCGCCCGACGCCGTGACCTTGCCTGCTCCTGCCATCGGGGATCTCAAAGCATTTCGAACCTCAGCAAGCATGGGGCAGGAGCAGGGGAAGGGGGTGTAGGAGAGGGATGGGAGGTGCAGGGATTTGCATTCCAACCTCCCGCCCGACGCCATGACCTTGCCTGCTCCTGCCATCGGGGATCTCAAAGCATTTCGAACCTCAGCAAGCATAGTGAGTCCCTGAGGAAGAGGAGGGGAAGGCTGAGGGGGAAGGATTTGTCCCACAGTCCCCACATCCACCTCGCTCTCAGTGACACGGGGCTCTCACTTGCTTGGCCCCGCAAAAAAACCCCACCACTGCATCCTGCTCACGCTCCAGCTCTTGTCACGCAGAATTAAGGCTCCCCAACTTCCCCGAAGCCCCATCTCTCGGGGTAGCCCGAAATACCCCTCCCCAGGCCCAGCAGCGAGCCCCGGGAAGGGCTGGCTGTGCACACGCGTGTGCGTGCACGCGTGTGTGCCCACGCCGTTTCAGCTTGCCTGACAGCCTGCTTCCCTGCCATCCGCAGCACCGCCATCTGTGAGGCTGCTCGCTGAAAAGGGCATTTCTCATCTCCCAGGCAGCTGGGCTGTTTCAGAAAGGTGCCTGCCGACCAAGGGGAAGGATGCTCTTAGCCGAGGAGGGCTATTTTTTGCCCTACCTGGAGTATCCCTGCGCAGAAGCGAGGTCAGCCTCACAGTTTAGCTTGTTTTAAAAATAATCCACCATAAACCAGCTCTGCAGCTGCCATCGGTGAGGCTGGTGGGTTGGCTCTGTGTTGGAGTGCCAGCTCCAGCTTCAAGAGCCGACGCACCTCTGGCAGTGCTTGTGAGAAGGGGATAGGGATGGAGGGCTCACAAAAATGCAGCCTTAAGTTTATCACTTCTCGCCCCACACCTCTTGCTTGTTTTGCTTGTTAGAAAAGAGGCTGGAACAGCTTGGGGGGGTTCCCTTGGTGTCCAGCCTCTCGCAGTGGGTGCCCAGGTGGGGATGCAGACCTTTAGACTTATAGGTTGCTACATGAGCTACAGGAACTTTGTTCTTCTCGGTCATTTTTCACCAATCCCTTAAAAAGAGGCTCCCAGAACCCCCCTTCATTGGTGCTGCACATCAGTAATTGAAAACTGCTCTTATAAAGGTCATTTCTTGAGGCCACCACTCGATAACATTGATGAAATTCAGCCCTGCGTGGTGTTGGCTATCAGGGGACTTTGGGGTTTCAGGGTCATCAAGCCGGCGCTACAGTCATACAAACGCTTCAAAATTACATTTAAAAGGCACCTGCTCTTTCTGTGTCTCTGTGTGCACTGACCCCTGCACGCACGGAACAAACTCACATCAAATTGTCATCCTTCGGGCAGATGAAAACGGAAACCAACGCGCCAGGACCGGTGTCGGTGTTGTTGGATTAAGGGACTTAGAGGAACGTCACCATCCTTTCTGGCCTTAAAGGCCCGCGAGGTGCAAAGCTCAAGCCTGTGCCCCAATGCTTCACAGGTTCCTAGAGCCTTTGAGAAGATCTAAAACGGGAAAGGAAAAAAGGAATTGTTGAGAGACTGGAAAGGGAAAGAGGTTTTCTAAAATACCAGCAACCCTTTTATCCATCAGCACAGAACACATCACATTTTTAGGGTTGGGGAAAAAAAAAAGAATACATCTCCTTTTCTGCAGGTGCTGAACATCTGCAGCTTCTAAAAGGGAAAAGAAGTGTTTTAGGCGCAGAGGTCCTCAGCGTGCCTGCGAGGAGGGCCAGTGCTCAGGCACAAACAGAGCCTGATTCATCTGCCTGTCCTCATTTAGCGGGAGCAATCACGGACATTTAGATGAAGACTTCTAGGGACACGCTGTGGTCTCACTAAAGGCACCCTGGAGACGTGTGTAGGCTCGAGACTTGGCCCTTTAAAATCCCCCTATCTCATCTCATCGACACAGCCTGACGGTAGGGCAGCAGCCGAAAAAAAACCCACCCCCACCCCGGCCACCCCTGACATTTTCTTCCATTGTCTCGTGATGCAGGATGAAATCCCAGTGGTCTCAGCTGTTTGCTGTCGGTGCTGCCTCTCACTGCAAACAAACTGGGGGAAATGACTGCAGCAAATGGGGTTTGCAAGAACCTCTGCTGGGTTAGGG